CAACATCCAGCCTGTTGCAGAAACAACAGTCATGTTGCAAAACTTTCTCCGTAACACCATATAGAGGTGAAGACAAAAAAAAAATCTGCAACAACACCACAGTTGCAAAGTTTTTCTGCAACAATACCTTTGTTGCAAAAAAAAGTGAAGACACGACAAAAATTCTGCAACACAACCTATTTTGCACAAATATATTCCTGCAACACAACCTATACTGCAAAAAAGTCTGCAACACAATCTCTGTTACAAGTGTTCCTGCAACAATATCATTGTTGCAAAGAAGAGAAAGTCGTTCAACCGATTTATTTTGTCATATTAGACGGCTCGCGAGGCGACGGATCTTTTAAGAAGATCTGCCGGCTGACGCGTAGCAGCTCCCATGTTGATAATCGCCCCTGTGCCATTCTATTTTTCGAATGGAACATTATGACATAGCCCACCTCAGGAAGAAGGCCCAAGGCCACCAGAAGGAAGCGGAAGATAGCCCATATATTTGAGGCCCAGCGAGAAGCAGGAAGCGCCAGGACGATGTCGATGAACAGAAACCTGAATCTGTCTATCTCCTCTCGTCCTTCCTCCGGAAATTTCCTTGTATCCCAAGTTGTATTCGAAATTGGACCATTCACTAGCACACTTATTCGTAGGGGTAAAAGTGTGTTGATTAAGCTAGGTGATAGGCTCAGTACAGGTCACATTAATTGTCAGCAACTTTCGCTCATTCTTCTGCAGAACTGGTCACATGTAATGCTGTTCAGGAGTATTCTTCCTTTCATTTACATCACATAACTTGCATAGATTTGAGTAACATATGTTACACTTCGGGGTACCGAAACCATCTTTTTCTGCAGAAGTTGTAACAGCTGCAAAACTGTCAAGTGGGCAGAGCTAAGAAACTAATCTCTGCCGACATGTTTTGAAACCATCGAAATTCAGCTCTAAGAAAATTCCATGCAGGTTAGGCTAGCTTGCTGGGGGCCGGCCGGGACGCTCCATGGTGCGGCAATTACATCATCAATGTGTGCAAGATTGGCGACGCTAACCAGAAGGTAACAGCCAGTGGCACCACGTACATTTCAGTAGCGACCCAAACTTGGAACCGCAGGGTAGCATGGCAGGTGATAGATGTCTCTCTGTGCAAGGACTAGTACAAGATCTGCGAGCTCCTTCGGGTCCCGGTTCTTCTTGCTGTAACCAAAGGCCAACCTCCTGGAGCGGCACTATTCCTTGTGTGCACTTGTACTACAACCGACCAGCGAGTGAATAGACAAGAGGAAACTAATATACACTGCTCCTGTTAATCAGTCCTTGTGTGCACTTGTCTCACTGAAGTTGCTTGCTGCTCGTTCGTCCTTGTGGATGTTGTTTCCAAAAAACATATGTGGGAATGTGTGCTGCATATTGCAGTTGCGATTAGTAGATGCTATTGTGACAAAATTTCATCTTTGTTCGAGTTTCAAAAGAACGATACAAATATATTAACAAAGGCAAATTTTAACATGGTCCCTCTTACCTCCTTTTTTTACATGTGAGGTAAGAAGGTAAGAGTCAATCAAGCCATTCATTGATGAGATCAACGGCTAAGATCTATTTTATACTCTTACCTCTCATGTGAAAAGAGGGGGTAAGAGGGACCATGTTAAAACTGCTCATTAACAGAAGTTATGGAGCATGTATATTTCTTACTGTAATTCTGTATGCAGAAAAAAAAAGAACATCGATCGTTCCTGGATGATATCCATTATATCTTTAGTCATTGCATGATTTATAACTCCTGACTTTTGACCTAACCCCGACCCTACCCCCCTCCCGACCCCGTGCGGCCGCCGCCGGGCCGCACCGGGCGGCCACCACCCATCTTCCCCTCGACCCCTGTGCATCCCCCTCCCTCCGCCACCGGCAACGTCGCTGGGCGTCGGCCCTGTGGCGTGGTGGCGGCAGAACTCCTCTCGCGTCCGCGGATCTGGGTCGGCAGCGGCGGCCAGATCTCCACCCCCTTATGATGTGGATGGCGGGCAGTGGCGTCCGAGATGCGTCGAGGAGCTTTGCTGTAGACGGCGGGATTGGCAGCAGGCGGCGGCGTGGTAGGCGGGGCTCTTCTGCTGTTGTTACATCCTCTTGTGCTGCCTCTCATCGATCGGCCTTGGCGATGGCTCATGGAGGCACTTCAGGTCTGCCACGCATCACGAGGATTATGGTGGTGATGGCCATCTTCTTCATTGGAGGTGGTCGGCCTGAGACTGGGTGGTCGGATCTCGAGATCCGTCATCTAGTCTCGGTAGCGAGTTGGGGAGACATAGTTGCCGGTGAAAACCGAGCCGATGGCAGGCGATGGCGGCGTTCTGCGTCGTTACCTTGATGAAGGCATCATCGTGTAACTATTATCGACTCACTCGTGCTGCTCCGGGGAAACCCTAGGACTAGATCGGACGATGACGGTACTGTGGTCTCGTTTGTCTCTTGGGAGCAACATTTGTGGAGCAACGCTGAAAGACAGAGGCAGGAGGTGGAGCGGCTTCGTCTTGCACAGAGCTTTGCTGGACATGTCAAGTCATGCCTAGCCGACAAGTGCTACACTCTGTCATGCCTGGTCGGCAGGTGCTACGCATGACAGATTTTCCAGATTCTTCGTGCGTGGATGGACGAGCACAGGGCGGTGACGCCGTTGGGTGCCGTGGTGGCGTTGACGGATGGCCGGACTGACAAGGATGATGTGGATCTCTCTCCTCAAGATGGATCAGCGGTCCAATGATGATGGTGACTTCTAAAACGTGTGCGAGGGATGTATGCTTTAGGTCTCCAGCGGCCGCTATTTGTTCTGATAGATTATGTGGATGGATCCGCGACGACACTGGTTTTAGATATGAGGAGTAAGAGCACTCCACATTATCGAGTTTGTATGTGTAAGTGGTGGCTTCGGATGGCTCGATGCATATTCTTGTCAAATTTTTGTTGAATAATTAATAAAGATGGTTGTGTGCATAGATCGATGGTTTTAACTTTCTTTTCTGAAAAAAAATGATTCATAACTCCTTTATCATGATGTGCCTTACTGCCTTCCGTTCGGTTAGTGGGCCTGCTCTCTTTTTTGTCATTACAGCCTTTTGATGTCCTAAATTATTCTTACGCAGGAATCAACCTGAGCAGTTTTGGCTTCATGTGATCACCTTCAGCGGGAACCATGATGATGCAGGCAACAGTCCAAGTGCCGGTGAGAAGTGAGAACTTGTAGCTCACTGACCAAGCCACCTGCCAACCAGTCCCAAGTCCCAGCAAATGGCTGCTCGATTTGCCAAGTTGTTGGTGGATGATAGCGCCTCCTAAGCTGTATACTATCCGTCACTTGTTGTTTGGCGCTTTGCTTCAGCTGCATGTTCTCTCCGGTTACGCAGCAGCTCAGATCTTCTTTTGACTCGCAGTTGCTTCAGCTTGGTTGCCTCCGGCGTCCCCTACACCACCCCCACCAACCCTAGCCCGAGGATGGCCACCCTCCAGCCTTTGTTTCAGGCTGAAGCAAATCCGCGAGAGCGTCGCATTCGTCGAACTGGCTTCCCAGGTAGCTTCGCCGATGAAACAAGGTGCCATCAGACTGTAGCTTGGAAACTGACAAGGAAAGAGGCGAACGTGTGGTGCATGTGGCTTTTGGCGGGCTAGTAGGTGGAATCAGATACACTGACTGAAATGTGCAGCCTCGCCGGCGTCAGGGTTTGTGCATATTGTAGTTTTCTTGTTGTGGTGGTGTAGTGTGGATGATGCTTGGCTGCTCCGATCCTGCTACCAACTATTTATCCAAAGCTAGCTACTGATGGTTAACTCGTCGCCGTCAGAAAAGGGCGCCTCAGCTAGCTTATTATGTTATCCAAAGCGAAATCACCTTTGAAATGAAATGAGTAAACTAAAACAAAGTAAAACGGCACCGAATCAAATATTCCTTTCCCTTTTTTCGAAATAAAGGCAAAAACACGAGAGAAAGATGCTTGCTGCTACCGAACTTTATGCTTTTTCCCTTCATTTTTTTTCTCAAGGGCAATCTCAACAGAAAGCACATACTGCTAGTCTACTACGGCAATGGGTCCATTTAATTAAACAACATGAGCTACGCCATTTCTTTCTGCTCAAGGGTGCATGTGCGTTTCTTCTGAGGCACTGTATCAGCGTAGCGAAGAACGCTACTTGACGGGCAAACCGATCCTTTTCTGCGTTCCCATATCTGTCTTCGGTTTCTCTTCCAAAAAAATATATCTGTCTTCGTTTGTACTTCACCAACCATGTAGGAGTACGTAGATACGCATGCATGGTCCACCGAGCACGCAACGGATCGCCCGCCCAGCTTCTCTTTTGCTAAAGGGCATGCACCCCAGGTGCGGACGTGATGATCAACCACGATCCTGGCCAGCCGGGTAGAGAAAAAAGTGGCCACACTGAGTTCGACACTGATAAAAGGTGTGGCTAGGTCTCAGTCGACTGGGATTTAACCAAGTCTCAGTCAAGTGACATAACATGTAAGAGAAAAAAGAAAAACTGAAAAAAAAAATTTGCATGGATCTCAAAATAAAATCTTATGAATATAGCATCGACCGAGACTTAGCAAGACTGCTGATAAAATCAACACAACCAACAAATCTTCACCGTAGTACTATAATTTACCGCATTTCCTATTCTTAGGTTGCCTAAATTTGCATTTCGCGATAGTTGATTTGACGGAGGCGTCGCGGTGAGGCCTCGGGTGAGAGCAACCTGAAGGCGGGGATGAGGTGGCAGCAGCGT